AACTGGTAGCTCTTGGACTTCGAAATTTCCCTCTGGACACCGGTATACACTCTCTGAGGCCTGCATTCATGCACATTTTAGAGTAAAACATTTGCATGTTTGCAGCACCAGATGTCACTTGGTCCACAGGCGTTGCCACGTTTTGGCCACCAAAAATCATGGCACGTGCCTCCTCGAGGCTAGAGATACTGTACATGCTTCCTAGCATATACAGTATCTGTACTTGAGGCCGGCGCGCATACACAGACTACCTACCTGGAAATGGCTCATTTCATGCGCGCCCCCTCTTGTAGGCAATGGATGATATCATAGTGTTTTAAATATAGGAAATAATAAGAAATCTGTAATTTTAACAGAACATAATTCAGTAAAGCCTAGCAATGCATGAATCCTCACTCTCCTATTTAGGAGTGGCAAGCTTGGAAGTGATTAAGCCGGCATCTGAAATGATGATGTAGAAGACCGTATGGCTGAAGAATGTCAAAATGATTTATGCAAATAGAGATTACCTAGAGACCACTCATTAAGTTTGTTTCAGTGCACATTTTTTCCACAAGTTGCAGGCCTACATTCTGGGTGCGTTTGGTCTGTCTCACCTGGAAAAAATGCAGCGTTTTGAGCACACCATGGCTTTTGTTCAATGCATTCCTCAGCTTAAGAGAGGATAGGGGAGGGGTTCATTCCAAGTGTTCATGTACTATATTTTGGGGTTCTAGGCAGGTGTTAGAGCATTTTAAATAATCGGGTTGTCTGCAAATATGTACGGATTGCCTTGGAGTCTGCCACTATGCATTGCTTATCCGGCATGAAAGCTGAGCGAAGCACACCAGAAATGCCCCTTTACAGCAATTTATTCCTCAATGCGCTAAATCTGCTTCTGCTCTGTAAGCATGGTCCCGTTCAAATGACTCAGAAGCTCACGCCCACTTTTTTAGCCCGATTTCTCACGCGTCTATCACTTCAGTGCATGCTCGAAAAGCTCAAACTTCCACCCGTAATATCCTCCTGGGACCCAGCGTGAGTGAAGGATCATGATTTTTGGTGAAACTCTTAAAATTGACTTTTCTTGGTATGATGTTAAAAAGTGTCAAGTTTTGTGGCATCGTACACTGATTTGGAGTGGCCAATTGTCCAATGTATTGGACATCGGGTCTGAAGGTGTCTGTTGTCGCTTGATGATATTGGAGCAAGCATGAAAAAAGATTGTTTCATTTAGTATAGAAACGAATGCACACAAATTAAAACATCGTAAAATATTTATTGGCAACATCATACAAACGATTTACTAGAATAGAGCTTGATTCCAAAAAAACTTGTGCAACAAACACTTTTTGCATGACCTTCATAATAGCAACAATTTCACATACATTGCACCCAGAAAAATATACATAAAAAGAAGGTACTCTCCATAGAATCCCAACATCATTTCGAGTGTGCTTTGTCAAAGCAGTGCCTTTCTTTGGTAATGCAAAAACAAGTTTGCATCAGGTACAAAAAAATTTAGTTTTCATTGAGCAGCCCTCCCGTCTGCAACGAACAGCATTGGGAATGTCGGCAAGCCGTGGCATGTGGCCCAGGGTTGTTTTTGTTCTCACCTCACTTGGAGGCAGGGGAGATCATTTTTCTGGAGGACACCAGAGTGCGTCTTCGTCACGGCTCACTTGGCTCCTCTGGGTCACAAGCACGTCAGCGACTGACATCCGAAAATCTAGGAACTTCAAAATATATTTTTTCTCTTTGTGCAAGCTGGACATGTCTTGCATGTACAAGATCCAAGCCTTGCAGAGTGCGATGTCAAACAGGCGAAAAATACAGGGTATCATTCACTTCTTCACACGGGCTTTTATACGGTAGAAGCTTAGCATGAGGTCGGCCATATCGAATTCTCCCATGTTAGCATTGTATGCCTACACAATGTAGGGCCTCGGGACATCTATGTGCCTTTTTTTTTTGGCACACCGGCGTCTGGAAGTGTCTTGTCGTTCTTTTCCATGCAACGACAACATCAGTGTCACCGGCTTGTTGTCATACCACCTGATAACCTGTTTATTGTCGTTTGGCACTCACATCTCTGATGCGCCACGACCCCTCTGTTTAAGCTGCGATTCTGACGCATGCTTTACTGTTTTTGGCACACGGTTGTTCATAACTGTGCCGGTTGCTGCAATATCTTTTTCGGCCAGCTTGTCGAGTAGCCCTGAAGAAGTGAAATACCTGTCGAAAAAACTTCGTTCCTCCAGTTAGACTCTGTGTCAGCTTGAGTAATGCGGATTCACCAATGCCTGAGCCCCCAGGATGAAGAAGCGACTTTTTTCTTCAATAGATTTCAAATTCAAGGATAAGGCCAGAAGGACTAGCCAACACAAAGTTTTTTAACCCTTCTGGGTTAGGCTTTCTTGGAACAAACTGCTTCAGGTGGGTACGCCCAGTGAAAGGTATCATTTGCTCGTCATTACTCAAAAGTTCTTCACGAGGAAGACTCGGACACCCCTTTTGTACCTCAACAACAAGCGGCCGTATCCTCCACAACCTGTTTTGTGCTTTCATGGCATCATCTACCTCAAGGGCATTCTCAACTTGGAGTCGCGACTTCAGTGTGAAAAAATGCTCTCTTGTCATGTTGCTTGCAACTAAAGGCACTTTCGTTCATTTTGCCCAGTACATACGAATTTGAGGGTACCCAAGGCATGACGTAATTAAAGAGCAAAAAATACTTTCAGCCCGTAAGGAGTTGTGCAAAGGCTCTTCCCTGCTCGGCCACATGAGCAGTGTTCATAGCGGTAGACATCGTCTCCCACACTTATCCGAAATGTATTTTTGAAAGTACTCGAATGGTCGCCAGAGGACTCGCACTTCACCGCTGTGTGGGGTGACGAAGTCCGACCCCCATGCCTGGGGAGAACTGCAAGTAAAGTGCGTTCATTTGATTATTTGTTTATTCACTCAGTTCTTATTTATTTATTTTTTTATAGATACAATAGTAGCCGGAGGGCATTACAAGAAGCTGGTACTGTGCTAGAAAAGCCGTTTCTCAAACGATGTGGGTGAAATATTTGTTTTGAAATTAAAGTATGCTCGCGTATTTGTCACCAAATATAGTAAGGCGTACCTGTCGGTCGTTTTCGAAAGCGCAGCCCTTTTTGAAGCTGCAGGTACAGTGTGTACTGGTTCCTTGTCACTGCTGTCAACATCCGGTTCTAAATCTTTCTCCAGGTCATCCCAAACAGCAACATCCTCAGGCGCTTTTTCATCGCTGTCGGACAGGTCCAAGTCAGATGATTCTCTGGCTGCAATTTTTTCGAGTATTCGCTCGGCCGTTTCGTTACAAACGCGGGGTCGGGTTTCTGTGAAAAAAAACAGTAATACACTTTTACAAAAAAAAACTAGAGAGGGAAATACAGGCAGAGCATGAAATAAATAAAGACATATTGAAAGAAATGAACCGGCAAGAAAACGCGGCTTCAGTCCCGTTGTCCAATCAATTGTGCATCACATTCTCATAGAGATTTAGAAACTACTGATGCAATTGTGTGCTCCCCTCGCCAACTAACGCGTTCTGAGTACGCTATACTTTCTTTCTGGAGGTAGAAATCATGGCGAAACACTAGAAAGTAGAAAAATCTCACTTACTTTCACGCACGCTGCCGTAAAATGCTGCGCCACTGCAGGCTGCCATCTTGACTGCTTTCCACTAGGCTTGCTCTCAACAAATTTTGATCCCACGCCGCTGGCGGCGCTACTTGTTGTTCTAACTGTTGGACAGCCAGTTACAGGGGCGTCAAAACAGCCACTCTTTTTGCACTTTCCCAAAGCCGTTGTCCAATAAATTGGGCAAAATCTTCATAGCGGGGTCTCAGGATGATATTGTCGTCACAAATGAAATATTGCAGTATGTTTTTTTAATCTTCTTTTTCTATAAAAAGTTATTAGATTTTAAAAAACTGAAGATAGGGTTTTTAAATATTGGTTATTCAGTAGGTTTTACTATCGACGAATTTGAAAATTTGAGGCCTATTATAATGGTATGTGTTTCAGGTACAGCAACGGTATTGATACGCAATATTGTAAACATCATGTTGTAAGAGGTCACGAAGTTATGAAACACTAGCTGGTTTAGCTTAGGAGGAAAAACTCTCAAATCAAGCAACTTTTTTAAACAATGTCACCTGTTCAGACATTTTTTTCAGAAACAATTTGATTCCGCCTACAAGCTTCAAACAATGTTCCCTTTCTCTTCATTACGCGTACATTTATTAGAAAAAAAATCGTCTTCATCAAGCCATTATTTGTTTTATATCGTTGTTGACTTTAAAAAATGACAGGGGACGAAATTGGTTACTCTGTACAAAATAGGTTAGATATTTTTTTTTTCATTTAAACTATGCAGTTAATCAAAAACGAAGTTTGCTTTCGGGCTACTGGGTGGTATGTGTACGAAATATAAAATAAACAATCAAATATAAAAGAACTCTCCGACACGCGTCCATCTCCTGAGGAATCACCTCGTTTCAAATATTTTTATGGATTCAAAACATATACTTATGCGAGGCATAGCTATTTTATGCCACATAGGAAAGTTTCTTAAAAACAGTGACCTACAATACGACGACATGCCGTGTCGAGCCACACCATTACGTCAGTAACCTGAAAAGCTATGCAACTTTCCCAACATTTCTACAAATAAAGCATGCGTCCGACAGCTGCAACGAGCCTTAAAAAAGGCCCCAATAATCAAGCTGAAGACGCCTCCCAACAAATAAATTTGTCGAGGGTTAAAAAAATGTTTTTTTAATAGAGCTCCTGTTTTCTACAATGGCAAAAAACGCAACGAATGACTGAAACTACAAATGTGAACAAGTTGCGAGAAAAAATATAATGTGTGAAAACGATAAAAAAAAGGGTGTGATGCAGCACAGTCCACTAATTCAAACGATAAGAGTAAAACACACTGGACGAGAACACTTGTCACTTATGGCAGGCATCTTTCCCTCCATTCGAGCTTAAGAGTCGGCCGCCTTCTCGGATGCGTCATCTCGCCCGCCTGAGGTGTCCCAAGTGCGACGCTCTTCATAAAATCGAATGACCACCTGCGGACACCAAACGTTAGCCACTCGAGCAGGCACCAAATTGTACTCGTCGCAATTCTTCCACTTGATCACAAACATACGTTCACCGTCGTTCGACTTGGCGGCTCCGATGATCCGATCCGGCTCCAAGCCGCGGTCGAACCCGCGTAGCTTGACGAAGCCTTTCATCTTCGTCGACTGGGACTCAGCCTCCGGGTCGCGTTTCTCCGACATTAGATCCGTGCAGTCGGTGTTCTCTTTGTGTTGCCAGGTGTTCTTGCTGCCACCGTATCCCTTCCACTTGAGCAGGTATTCGACTTTGGCCTGCCTCACGCGCTGGTCGAGTATCTTTTCGACGACGAACTCCTCTTGACAACAATGGCGCTAGGCCTACGGTAGAGTTACAGTGGCTAGAATACTAGAAGTGTGATCACCGCCAAGCGGCTGCAATGGGAAGTAGTGACGCCGCTTTGCGATGTTTCCGCTAGGTGGCGCGTGCTGCGTCAGGCTGCTACAGGAGGTCACGCTAGAGATAAATACAAATTACAATAAAGGAGGTCACGCTAACAGATAAATACAAATATCTGGGCGTATGAATAAGCAATGGGACCGAGTATCTGAGGGAACACAAAATATACGTGACGACTAAAGGTAACAGGAATGCAGCAGTCATGAAAAATAGGGCACTGTGGAATCACAATAGGTATGATGTTGTGAGAGGAATATGGAAAGGGGTCATGGTTCCTGGGCTGACGTTCGGCAATGCGGTCTTGTGCATGAGATCAGAAGTTCAATCAAGATTAGAAATTAAGCAACGCGGAATACATAGTCTTGCTTTAGGAGCTCAAGGGAATACACCAAATCAGGGAGTACAAGGTGATATGGGATGGACATCATTTGAGGGCAGGGAAGCTAGCCGCAAGATGAAATTTGAGAAGCGATTGAGAGAAATGAGATAAGAGCGTTGGGCTAGGAAGGTTTTCAGCTACTTGTACATGAAGAATGTCGATACAAAATGGAGGAAGCGAACCAGGAAGTTGACTGGTAAATACTAAAAAAACAGCAGGTGGCGAAACCAAAAAGAACTATCGGTTGAAAAGAAAGTGAAGGAAACGGAGACTGACATGTGGAGAATGGGCGTGATTAAGAAGTCCGCACAAGAGATCTATCAAACTTTTAAGCAGGAAATCACCAAGGAAAGGATCTATGATAATACTCGGGGTAGTTCTCTACTGTTTGAGGCCAGGACGGGAGTACTGCGAACCAAGACATATCGGGCCCAATACGAAGGGGTAGACACAGTATGCAGTGCGTGTGGAGAGGAAAAAAAAACTGCCGAACACTTGATAATGTTCTGTAAAGGGCTTCACCCTATAGTTCAGGATGATGGCGCAGAGTTTTTCAAAGCACTGAGGTTCAGGGACTGGGAGGGCAAAATAAACTTTAAGCGGGTAGACTTAACTAGAAGGAGGTTATCTGATTGGTGGCTAAAGTCAAGGCACAAGTGAAAATTAAACTCTTCACTGCAAAGTACAAATCCTCAAACTGACTTTTTAAGAAAAAAAATAAATAAATATAGTTTTTGGTTCATTAGGTAGTACGGCTTGGTGGCGCTAGCCACCGCCCGATCTAAAGGGTACAGCCATATCCATCCATTCATCCATCACAGGCTGCGCACGTTGTTTAACGCTGCAACTCGCCGGTCAAACGTGATACTTTTGCCTGTTTAAGCTGTTATTTCGTGCTGCATTTGCTGTTCGAACAGCCTTCTCGTGTCTACGTTATGTCTTTCGTGGAGTGTGTGCCATGAGCAGACGTCAGAGCCACTGTTTTGTGCCCAGATGCTCAACTGGGTACAAATCGTGCAAGCAGAAGCTTTCAATGTTTGGAGTCCCGAAAGACGACTATTTGTTCCAGCAGTGGCAGCGTAATATACCAAGAGCAGACAAGCCTTTGGAAAAGAACGATGCCGTTTGCGAGCTCCACTTCGATCAGCAGTTGATCTCGCGCCACTTCGAGCACGTTATTAACGGTGAGGTAGTGCGTTTCGACAGAGCTAGGCTTCTACTATTATCGCATGCCGTCCCAACGATCTTTCCAAATGCTCCTTTCTACCTCTCGAAACGTGTGGCGCGAAAAAGAAACCCCAAGGGGAGATCACACCCACCGCTTGTGATTCCTCAGAGAAGACGCCGAAAAGACGACGACCGGGAGCCACAAGAGGAGCCGCAGGATGAACCGGAGCCACTCGACCTTCCAGCTGCACCTGTTTACGACTAGAAGCACAACGGCGTCTGTCATAATCATATGGTGGTTTTGGGACGTTAAACCCCACATATCAATCAACGGACTTGTTATTGTTGTTATCTGAGATTTCGCGGAGGATGACGCAGTCATCTGCGAAAAGATAAATGTTAGAGGAAACAGCGTCAGGTAAGTCGTTAATATAAATGAGGAAAATGAGAGGGCCTAAAGCTGATTCCTGTGGTACACCTGAGTCCACAGGGTTAAATGAAGATGTATGACCGTTTGATGCAACGTATTTTGACTGATTTAAGAGAAACTTCCCAAGCCATATAAACAGGTTAGGATCAAGACTAAGTATACTAAGTTTAAAGAGAAGAAGTTGGTGACATACTTTGTAGAAGGCCTTGGCGAAGTAAAAAACTACACAGTCTGCGAAAGAATCTTTGTCAAGAATAAGATGAAGGCTGTGAGCAAAAGAAAAAAAGTGTTTCGCTAAACAATTTTTTTCGGAAAACAAGTTGTGATTTCGTGAAAAATGAATTACTGTCTAGGTGCTTTGCGAAGTGTGAGTACAGAATATGTTCGAGAACCTTGCAGGGAAAGCTGGTGAGAGATATGGGGTGGTAGTTGAGGGGTGAACTTCTGCTACCGGATTGTGAATTGGGACGACCATCCCGACCGACCTTCCAGTCAGCAAGTAGCTTATGGTTGTCTAAGGATTGCTGAAAGATTCTTGAAAGTAGAACAGATGAATAAACAATAGTTCTTTTGAAAGGTTTAGTATTAATTAAATCTGAACCCAGACTTGATGACAACTTGAGACTTCTAAATACATTTTCAATCCCAAGAGGCTCAATGATAATAAAATCTATAACAGGGTAATTGCAACACTCAAGATGAGAAAATTCGGGTTTAGAAAGCACGACAAAGTTGTTGCAAAAAGCAGAATTAAGAAGCTGAGGGCATACATCATCAGGTACCGGTAAACCGGTGGAATCGATCAATGCCACGGAACTATCACTAGAAGGGTTTATAACTCGCCAAAAGTTTTTAGGATTGTTTGCAAGCATTGTCGGCCATGTGTGCATGTGAAATACCTTGTTCGCAAGCTTTATTGCCGCTATATAGGCGGTGTTCGACTCCTTGTAGACATCCCATTTCGAAGCCAAACCACTTTTTTAGGCTATTCGATACCTTTGCTTTTTTGTTAGAAAGCCTTCTAACTGTGCGCTGAAAAAATGTTTCTTAACATTACAGGATATTTCACTCAAGGGGACAAATTTGTGGGTCAGCTCAAGTGTTTTCTTTATAAACATAATTCAGTTCTCGTCTACGGTGCGATAATCAAAATGATTAAAAAAGGGATCAAGGAAGCTGGCTAGCTCAGCATTAATGACGTCAAAGTTCGCCTTATCATAGCGACAAATTAGCTTTTTTTCGACAGTTCGTTTTGCGCGGGAAGTAATAGGTTGAACGAGAAACCAAAGTGATCACTAAGTGATCACTTAGCCTTGTATGCATGCAACATTGAAAACTATGTCAGAATGGGAACATAACATTAGGTCGAGGAGGATAGCGGCATTGTTCGAGATTCTTGTTGGTTCGACAACTAATTTTTTTAGTGAAAATAAGGAGCAGAGATCAAAGAATTCCTTACATTGTGAAGAGAAAGGATTACAGCATGGAGGGTCAGTATCCCAACATATATTGGGAAAGTTCATATCCTCCAATAATATAATGGGGATAGATGGTTGCCGCAGAGTAAGCGTGTTTAACACATCATGAAGCTCAGCAGTGAACGTGGGTTGGTAAGAGGGAGAACGATAGCAATTAACTATCGTAATTTTACGGTGGCTGACATCGACGCAAGCGCACACAACTTCAAGGTCACTCTGAATGCTGATGTGATGACACTGTAAAGATTTAGAAGTAGATAGTAGTACACCTCCACTCTGACGAGCATGTAGTGCGATCGCAACGAAACATTCGGAAAAGTGATAAATCAAAGATTCCATAATCTTGCACATGGGAATGTAGCCACGTTTCCGTTAATGCATTGATACTAGTATTACAGTTATCGAAGAGCGAAGTAAGCTCTTCGCGCTCGTTTATCATGCTTCTTGATTGATATGTGGGATTCAACGTCCCAAAATCACCATATGATTATGAGAGACGCCGTGGTGGAGGCTCCGGAAATTTCGACCACCTGGGGTTCTTACGTGCACCCAAATCTGAGCACACGGGCCTACAACATTTCCGCCTCCACCGGAAATGCAGCCGCCGCAGCCGGGATTTGAACCCGTGACCTGCGGGTCAGCAGCCGAGTACCTTAGCCACTAGACCACCGTGGCGGAGTGTTTATCACGCTTCTACCGTTAGCAACAAGAACTGCGGTTTGTGCTATTGAAGGTGCGCCACTGCCCCTCGCGCTTTCTTATGTAGAAAAAAGATTTAGCGAATTTACAAGTGCGCTTGCGCGATCCGCAACACGGCTTTGAACCTGCTTAACGTTGTCACTTGTCGGGTCGTACATAAAACATAGGTTATTAATGAAGAGTTTGTTATAACGTAGTTCAAGTGATGAGAAATCAGGCTGGTTTTTACCGAATTCTATAAAAAAGCTTTTTTCTAGCAAGTCGTGTAGCCGACGAGTAACCCTTTGATACTGAAATGTTGTTACTTTTCAGCATACTGCGCGACGAAAGTATGATTTCTTTAACTTCAAAGTTTGATAGCGTCATGATGACAGGGTGACATTTTGCGCTCGAAAAACACTTAATTCAATGCGCCCGTTAAACCGAATTTGGCGGCAACGTATTTCCTATCGCAGACGATAGTGCTTCCAGAGTTTTCTGTTCAGTTTGGAGCCATGATTCACGGGAATCGGGTGTGCCTTACATGACCAAATTATTCTGCCTGGATCTCTCCTCCAAGTCATCCAAGCGCGAGACTATATTGTACTGCTGCTCTTGCAACCGCAAGACCTCTCTTCAATTGTGGCAACATGTAAGCAAACAGTGTCTAGTGCTGCAAATTTACTTTGGAGCGACTCAAGACGACCAAAAATGTCAGCTTTGTTCGAGAGAGCTCTGGCTGGTTTTCACAGTTCTCATATCTGATTTCAGCTCTGACTGACCTTTCGCTAGTTCAGCAGTCGCCTTCTGCATGTCTTTAATCATTAGTAAGACAGTGCCCAACTGATTAGTTTGTGATTCTTGGACACTGTTTGAAAAAAGTACGTCCGCTGGTGATTTCTGCCCCTTAGGCACCGAGTTTTCCTCGATATCACCGCATTGTAATAACAGCGCTACGTCAAAGCAATCACAAACAGTGGCATACAAGATTGGTGGGCATGGGATCAGCAAAAGGGAGCGATTATCACTCCGTTTAGCGCAAAGAGCCAAAGAGTCGCACACCTGTAGAGGGAAGAAAAGTTGCGCACGAAGCGTTGTGCCACGGGTGCTGCTCACATGCCCATGTGCGGAAGCGTAGCCGGGTGAGTGCCGCAGCACCGGTAGCGAGAGGTTGTGTACACGTCCGGTAATATGAGGTGAAGGCGGGCAGGTGAGGGATACGTGTTTGTTTGAAATAGACGCAAAGTAGTGGCCTGTGCCCGGTTGAGCTTGAGGTTATGTGGGGGAAAGACTCCGCGTTTGAGGTAAAAGTTCTTAACCAGATCATTGTAGGTAGTCAGGTTGTCCTTGGTGTCCATCTCGTCTCCAGAAATTTTCTTTTCCACTCTTCTCTTCACAAGCCAGTACCGTTGAATTTTCCAGGTCAAAACTGCGTCTCAGCACTGTTCGCATTCCCGTATTTCGCAAAAAAAAAAGACTGCAGCCACAGCCATGGCAGCACGACTGAAAAGAGAAAAAAAAATGCAGCAGCGAGGATAGTAATATCTGCCGTCACCAACACAGAAAATACCGCTAGTTTTTCGAAAGGGTGCCTTCTGTTTTCTCTCCTTCTTTCAATGCAATGTCCCTTCCGTCTTCGAATGATGAGCCGGGCTGTCATATGGGTTAACTTTCCTACTACCCCCTCCACCCCCCTTCACAGAAACGTCGAGCGCTGCACGACACGTTCTGCCAAGCAACCACTCTTATTTTTGCATTCCGCGTCTCTGGTATCATCAGTTCATTTCGCCCCTCTTTCTTTTCCTGAAAGCACCATGTCCTGCGATGAGTTTAGTATATTTCTAGAATAAGATCTCAGATACTATTTACATAACCAAAATAAGTTTTTAACATGTATGAGTGCATGTATGCGTTCTAAAAGTCTGTACAATTTACATTGCCCTACCTCAATTCACCACATTTATAAAGAATTACCACTGATTTCAGTTATTCATGCTTTATTAGTTCAGCTTACATATTCTATCAAAATAATTTTTACGCAGTGGTAGAGCTCGGCTTGGCGTTTAATGATATGCAAAGCGGACAGATGTTACCGTTTATGTGTACTGGCAAGATCAAAAACATCTTTTATCCAGTTAGGTTTACCCATAAGAATTATTAACGTTTGATAGAATCAAACCAAAACTATGATTTTCTATTTTTGCATATGTAGTTAGGGCTCGAATTAATACAGCGACTTGATTCAATTTACCGAAGTTATTACGGCACTAATGCTGCGCAAAAAAAGGACGAGTACAAGAAAGTGAAAAACCACAATCGCTTGCGGTGTTCAGTTTTTTTTTGCACTACATTTACACCATAATAAACCAGTGCCAACTCGCTCACCTATTTGTTTTGCTTTACCGAAGTTATGTTTAAGAGAAAGAAAAAAAAACACGTAGTGCAAACAACGCATTATGAGAATTCCGCTGATTTTTCACTGACGTCTTGTCAAATTAGCCAAATATTGATCACATGTTTGGTTTATCAACCCAACATTATCCAATATTAACGCTACCTGACAAAAATAACACAGGTAGTTCAAGAAGAGTTCACTCACTATTTTTTCGCCCCATCAGCAACCGCCGGGTTCCTCAATACTCGCGAGATCACAATGGGTCGTTCGCTGCCAGGAACCATCACACTATTACCGCTCACACAACTCACTTCCCCCACTTTTGTCGTTAATAACCTTCGTTGCTGCTTGTCGTTTGGGATACCCAAAAGGTGCTCAGATCGATTTCTTTTTCTCCAATGCGGCCGAAAGCTCTGCACAAGACATGGCACCGAAATGGAACGGAAGTTTTGATGATACCTGGCTACGCAGCTTATTTTTTTAACCGTGCCAGAAAAATGGGTGGTGGGGTGTTTTTGATGGCTACGAATTTCATAAAATGTTATTTGATTCAAGAATTTTCTCGCATCACTGATGATTATGAAGTTCTGACTGTACAAAGTGACCATTCCATTATTGGTGTTTTATATAGCGCTCGTAGTGGCAATAAGACAAATTTCCTAGAATTCTTAGATTCATATTGAGGTTGGGCTGGTGGCTCTGGTTGTAAGCTAGTTCTTGCAGGTGCTTTAAATAGCGACTTTGCTAAATCATCACAGTCGCAGTTTGAGCTGTGTCACATAATTGAATTAAATGGCTTTACGAACGTTATCACCACTCCGACTCGTATTGAACGAAATAACGCTACATTACTCGACGTGTTCATTACTAACATAGAAGCTACAAACTCTATCTGGCGTACTGAGTGCACACAATAGTGACCATCTGCCGATATTTATGGTAACAAACGGAACAGTAAGTCATTCTCAGTCACAACAAAAACATTTATTAGTTCTTCAAAATATTAATGAGCACACATCATCTGCATTTCGCAGACAGATATTGTTGACTGATTGGTCAGACATTATTTGTGAGCAGGAACCTGATCGTGCCTACAACTGTTTCAACGACAAACGAACAAAAATTTATAAGCAATACTTTCCGTACAAAGAAAAGAGGCCTTCGCGCAGAGCTAAGAAACCTAGGGTTACTAAATATTGCATCAAGGAAATAAAACATAAAAATAAACTATTCGAACACTTTTTGAAAAATAAAAATGAAGACACGCTGAAACGTTTCAAAGACCAAAGAAACTAAGTTAACAGTATGCTGCGCCACGAAAAGCGAAAGTACCTAAACAGCACCTTCAACAATGAAGTAATGAACAAATCGGAGCTAGCTTGGTCAAGACTGAATGAGTTCCTTGGCCGTAAAGGTAACAACTTTCGGCCCACTGAGCTTGTGGTGAACGGTGGCACTATTCGCAATGCTGATTTAGCTAACGTGTTCAATGACTATTTTGTGTCCTAAAAAAGCGCACTAGCCAGATTGTACCACATATTTATCAGACAGTACTCCTGAGAGCGCGTTTTTGGCGCCCACCGTAGCCAGCGAAATTGCCCTCGTTTTCTCGTCTGTAAAGAAAAGCACATGTTGTGGCGTATATGACATTCAGATTGGACCCATTAAACACGTGCTGGACCTCATCGCTGAATTATTAGAACATATCTTCAACCTGGTACTTTCAACTGGAATCCTTCGACAGAAACTGCAAGTGGCGAAAGTAATCGTGTTGTACAAGGCAGGGGATAAGAACTCGCTTAACAACTACCGGCCTATATCTATACTGCCAGTAATATCAAAAGGTTTAGAAAAACTGATTCACAAAGGTATGATTTCCTTTTTAGATAAACGCCATATCATCACTTCATCACAATTTGGATTCATGAAAGGCCGCACAACTGAGCATGCTCTCCCAGCACAGAAGGAATTCATATTATAAGCTTTTGAACGTCAACTACACTCACTAGGTATCTTTATAGATTACTCAAAGGCGTTCGATACTATAAACCGTGTCACACTTTTACAGATATGCAATCACTACTGCTTCCGAGGTGTCTTTCTCAAATTAATTGAATCTTACTTAAAGTTTCGTCAGTAGGTGGTGGCCATCAACGATCACACCTCCAATTTACAAGCAATTTCAGCAGGTGCGCCCCAAGGCAGTATTTAGGGACCCCTTTTATTCTGCGTATATATTAATGATATGGTAAACATTAATACATCTGTAAAGTATGTTATATACGGAGATGACACAACCTTACTTCTCACTGCTCAAAACTATAAAAATTTAATCAATGACGCAAACTAGGTATTACTAAAGCTAGCGTCCTGGACATACAATATTTCTTTAAAATTAAACTCTTCAAAAATGAGAGCTTTTCACTTTAGGCCTAGAAATTAGCCACCACCTTTGCATGCCCCGTTAATGCTCGGCACCTCGGAAGTTCTGATAGTACCAAGCGTTAAATGTCTAGGTGTAATCTTTGATGAACATATGTCATGGAATTCCCACATTGAAAAGCTGTCCTCAAGTTTATCCAGAATAACTGGAATCTTGTCAAGGGAGCGTTTCCTGCTTCCTAAAAAAATTTAAACTTCTCATCTACAAATCTTTGTTCTTATCACACATAAATTATTGTCATCTGGTTTGGGGCACACCCGATGGAGGCAAAAATGTTGTAGGCCCGTGTGCTCAGATCTGGGTGCACGTTAAAAAACCCCAGGTGGTCGAAATTACCGGAGCCCTCCACTACGGTGTCTCTCATAATCATATAGTGGTTTTGGGACGTTAAACCCCACATATCAATCAATCAATGGTTTGGGGCACAAAAACATTAACGAACATTCTCAAATTACATGTCATACAGAAAAGGGCAGTTCGCGCCATTGCAGATGTTCCGTATGGAAGTCACACGTCACCGCTTTTTGAAGAAATGAACTTATTAACCCTACCAAATTACTATCAGACAAATCTTATGAAACGCTATTACGCAGGACGGAAAAGTAATAACTTTTTGGGCACACTTGCTCGTATAAACTGGCGGACCCTTTTTTTATAACACTCGTCATATTCACACGTGGTTTCTTCCATGCACGCGCACAAACTATGGCAAGGAGAAGCTGCGCTTTCTATTGCCGTTCCACCTGAATCAAATAACACTGTGAAAATATTGCTGGACATGCGTTTTTGTCCTACCTGTGTTAATGCCATTGTATTTCTTTTTTCATTTGTACACTCTCAATGATCATTTATGTGATTATCAAAATTGAAGTTGGTACATTGTTTTAAAGGTTTATTTTTCGATCTGTTTCACTTGCATTATCTGTCTATATATGTTCATATGTATATGTTTATGCACTCCTTTACAGTACTAATATGCATTCCTTTACAGTTCTAATTGAGCGACACAGTGTTGTCTGATTTATTTTATACCATAATGTACACTCGCCTATACCTGCCACTTTGTACGGGGTCGTGGTCCTAGTCAAGCCCGTGAAGAAGCTTTTTGACCCCGGCCCTCTGCATCCCAAATTATGCTATGCTTGAATAAATAAAGTTCAAAGGCTTGGTCTGCGCCATATTGGTTTGTGGGAAAGGAATTCCCGGAGGCAAGGCTGCGAACGTCACTCCACGAACAGCCAATGAATGCCAGTCAGAGATGGCCTGGAGTAGTTGGGGAGCATCCACAGGGGCAAAAGTGTTGTTCCGGATGATTTCCGGAACAACCACGGGAGCATAATCAGGGAATTGGCCCCGTTTTCCTCCGGTTTCCTACGGCCGGCGATCACCGCAGGAGAACGGTGGAAAACGAATGTATTTGCTCCGGTGGATTCCGGTTTGAGTGAGGTTACCGGAGCAGAGCGGGCACATCCTTCCCAGACTCTGCCCAGCTAGGTATATTTTTGTTTACAGTGTATGTC